AGGTAAATAATTGTTCTTATCTTCTCGTTCTAACATCTGCTTGCTCGAATACAAGAGTATCTGAGGATCACTTGTCATTCTAAAGTAATTTGGCAGTTGTATTATTGTTTGCCATGCAAGATGCAGGTCTTATGAGACATTTGCATGTCACAAAACATGCCAGTGACTAATAAAAAGAACAAGCAAGGCATAATGATGCACACCTGCAACTCCTGTATTCAGAATACTGAGGAGGAATCCTGGGCTAAGCAGCAAGACCTGTCTCAGAAAGCCCAGAAAAAGAACTGGAAATCCTCGGATGTTGGATCTTGACAAGAACACAAGGTTTTCTAAAGCTCTCTGAGGGCAAATAACAAAACCACCTTGACAGATAGGACAGTGACCAGGAAAGGATCTTGTTATCTTAAATGCTGCAATTTTTTTTCTTGAGATGCTGCTTGCCCTAGCTCAACTCTGTAGTGGCAGATTCAGTTTCAGTGAGAATGCTGATGACTAGACTATGATCAACCAAAGCCTCCACTACTCAGTAAAAAAAGGAGTGGGAGTGATAGGCAGCTCATTAATCATTTATCCCAGGGACGAACGTATTCTGGTGCAGATAGGGGTCTGTAGGTGAATGCTGCCAAAATGAGAAATGTCAATTGTCAGGCCTCGTGCATAACCACCATAGAGCTCTTTTTAAGCTTCTTTGCAGATTAAAGTTGTACGCCTCTTCCCTACAGTTCTGTCACATATGCTTGACAATTTTGTTCTATGAGAATTCATTTGCACTCTACTCAAATGTCTCTGCTGGAGAAAAATATTCAAATTCTAGCCTAAATACACAAAAAGATACTTAGAAATCTCAAAGTTTCACATACTGGAAGTGGACCCCAAATGAATAGAAGAGACAAACTAGAGGTAATAAATTAGTGGGGATGGGGTCTTTCCTAAGAGGGGCTTTATTTGAAAGGATGATAGTTTTCATTCCAAGATCCCATAGGGAAAACAATCATCATGTAACACTTCCTGAGGCAGAAATAACAGAGTCCGCATAGTATACTTAAAATTATCACCCCCCCAATTAGGTTAGGAGCGCTTCCAGCAGTGGCTGGTTGTCTCAAAGACCCTGAGAACCTGTGCCAGTCTATTCATTTCCAGTTTGTGTCTGTTTTTCTACTGGACAATAACCTTCCCTGTTTGGAGCGATATTTCAGCATTCATTGGAAGAATTATACTAAATTTTAAAAAGTGCTGCCTTAGTGAAGCATGCAAGAGGTACAGAGAAAAGATCATGAGCGCCAGCCCAGTCCGCCTCCTTGTCTCCCAAAGAGTGGAAGTCAGTGAGGGCAATTTGTCTGTTAGCAACATGCTGTTAGTTTTTCCTCTACACCCTGTTTTGAGGAATCAAAGTTCAGAAAATTTAAGACAAAATATTTCCTTTACAACAGGCAAATCTTGCAAATTTGTTGTTTAGATATTTATGAATGTATACCTCTACCTATTTAGGGAGTTCTATGTACACCTAGGTTTGTGGAAATATTAAGGATTTTTGTCTAATGTGAACTTCCAAATGGATGATGAAGTAATTTTTCTTTGATTAAAGTAGGAACATAGAAAGTTTTAATACTGATTTTTTTCACAAAATACTACTATTATATTTGATATTTTAAAACACAATTACATAATTTAAAAACATTGTTACATTTGACAAAGGCAAGTTATTTGATTATCATTAACCAAACATGGCTATATAACAAAAATGTGAATAAATATAAATTTGAGTATTTGTTATTTCAAACTTCAGGGTTTCATGCATATTCAAGTGTATATAAAGCATCTAAGTGAAACGAATATTCTTTAAGTAAAAAATGCAAAAGCAATGATTTTTGTGAATTTATCTATAAATGTCTGTTTCACATTTGAGACATCAATCCCTTCAAACATACTTCCAGACAATTCTGTCTTTGTGACTTTAAGATGCCAACTTAATTAGATTACTCTATCTGAATTTCTAGTTAGGAAATTACATTAAGGCGGCATGTTTTTCATAAATTGGATGAAAGACTATGTGTTGAATTATTATTGCTATTTCTGGCATTACATAAATTATCCTTAATCTTAAAGCAAAGCATTTAAATACATTGTCCCACCAATGGTTATTAGTAAGGAAATTGTATTTTGGAGGACATTATGGACAACTATTTCCTTCAATTATTTGAAAGTAATTAGAAAGTTATTTTAAAATTTCAAAACAAAAATGAAAGAGACTGACATTTTGGCTGTGAAGATGCAAATGCTACAACAATCAAACTGAACTTAGTGCTACGGCTTTCTCAGACACACTGATTCCACAGCAGTGATGGTGCTGTCCATTATTTAATACCATGACCTTAAAAATGTTCACCAATCAAGGCAAGCAGATGCCTGCTGCACTGTTAGAAGCATGGGCATCTGGGCACACTACGAACTCACCACTTACTGTGAAGAACTTACTGAGAATGTAGTGTATATATGTATTCCAGGTTGGATAGCAATGGAGAGAGCAGGTTTCCTGCCATGGCCAGTACCAGAAGAGAAGAGTCAGAAAATCTAGGAGGAAGACACAGGAGAGAGAGAAAGGGTGAGATAGTACTAATTATATACCAGTGACTACAGGGAAACTAGAAGTTTATAACCATTCCTCAATGTGCTAAACGAAGAGGTCAGTGCACTTTCTAACTATCCTGAGTGCTGGACTAAATGTGTGCTTTATTGCAGTCTTACTACTAGACACAAAACTGGGGAAATGCTTGCTGAATAAATTAGAACTGTACTAACTTTCCTATTGTGAAGCAGTTTCTTTACCTTAGATAAATCACATCTGGCTGCTTAATGACTGGAAACAGAAGATACCTGGTTGCAGTTAACTGGAAAAAGCCAGTTAATATGGGTGATATACATTTGCATTTATTTTTACATCTTTCATTATTGAAAATAAATGCTAGACAACAAAAAGACAAACATTACCCAAAGCCCAATAAGACTGTAAAATTCCCATGAAAATATACTTAACATGCTGTGCATGTTCTCATGTAAGCAGCCTTTCTTCTTCAGCTACCAATGGCATTGAGCTTCCTAAGTAAAAATATCTACTTTATTTGAATAGTTGGTTACTATTAACTCTGTATGTTAATATTTATTGCTATACTGGACATTAAAGTTCTACATTTGTACTATAAATGAAGCAAAGAACTACATCCATTTATTTCCACATTTAACCAGTTAGTAACTCATAAACACTTTCTGCCATCTTATGACAGGGTTGCATATCCCTAAGGCTTTTAATATGTATTTGCTTACTTCATTTGAAAAACACACTGACTTCATTGTTGCTCATGGTGTTCTCTTGGGTTTTCTTCCAAGTCATTAGAATGCACATATTCCCTTTTCATAGATGCAGACAGGTGAACGGCACCTTTCTTTCTCCCTTAGTGTGCATGTGGTACTAAGAAACCTTGAGAACTTACCTTATGTATGCTAAGCACCTGTTCCCAATGACCTACATCTTCTGCCCTTTGCCATTATCCTTTTAATCGGTGTGCTACTAATGTATTTGTCAGCGGTCATTATTTATTTTGTCTAAGACAGGTAAAAATGTTCCTATGTTATTTTATGTATACAATGGCAATACTATCTCAGTATCTCAACAATACCTTGTTGAGTTTAATCTCAAATACCAGTGACCTAGGGGATAAAAAAAAATGGGGAAATAATTTGAATCTATTTTCATTCTACATACAATGCAAGACAAGTTAAATAGACATCAATATAAGCTGTATAGTTCAAAGGAAATATTAGGAAGCTATTACATAGAAGAGCCTTTAAAATGTCACCATATTAAGACATTTTACAAGTCTATATTTATATAATGCAGTTTGTATTTATGTCTATACTCTGTATCAAAACTTTCATTAACTTTATATTATACTTTTAGAAGAAATGAAAACATACATTCGAAGAATGTGTAATTACTTTAAAGCTCATGTTAAGGACACAGCAAGGTTAAAAGGAATATTTTAATTTATGCAACATTGAAGAAAATATTCTATTAAAATGAAAGCAGTAAGATTTATGAAGACCAATAATCCCATAATGGCAATTTCTATAAGAAATAAGTCATTATTTCCAAGTTTTTCATCTGAAAACTGTCACCCACCAGAAATTTAGGACAGATATATACTATCCCCAAGGTTACTCTATGCCTTTTGTATAATCAGATCTTAAATAACAAGAGTCAATTTTTCTTGAATATATACATCACAACTCAGTCTAGTCTAAAGGATCTTAGTCTTTCCTTAGCCTAGCTGCTGACATGAAGCTTCAGACATATCTCCAACATCTGTAGAAAAGATCCTCTAAGATTATGACTTCTAGCAAAACATTCAGTTCAGTTGCTGTACATGGCAGATGACGAAGACTCTTGATATAAATCCTCTCTTAAATCTGTCCAGTTAGTCTGACAAACAAAAATAGAAACAAAGTCCTTGAACTGGCCCCAGTACACATACTTTTAGCAACTTATATCTAAAGTAGACTTCAGGAACACCTTTGTTTTGCCCAACATCATGGAAAATGACAGATTCCAAAACTGAAAGACAGTAAGCCGGTCCCTACATAAGATCTTCCAAAGGCTTTGTATTCAGAGAACACTCCTGATGGTAAGGAGAGAAATCTCCAAAGACAAATCAGAACCCAGGAAAAGAAAAAAATAAAATGAAAAACTCTTTAGCATGTTTTCCTGAAATTTGACACATTTTTTTCTTTTGTAAAGAAAAAAGTGTGTGTGTTCACACACACGCATGCATGTACTTTTCTCAAACATATCAGCAGTGTGGGTGAGGTGCTAATTCTCAATGTAAAAACATATTTTATCTGAATGAAATCTAAACATAGATAAGCTTAAACTGTTATCTGAACCACTAAATTGACCATTTGACTTTAAATATGTACAGATTCTATCAAAAGATATCAAGTTCAGATTGAAGAGGCAGGCACAGGTATGTTTTTATTCTAAAACCTTCTATGTACATTCATATTTCTGACAAAACTCTAGAAAGGTCTTTCAAATGAACTTTAACCTACTGAACAGAACTTATAGTCATGCTCTGGTATTCTCTTCAGCAGCATCTGCCTCTAAGAAGCACATCAAAATCACTCAAACATCAAATTGCTGATCTGATAGAATGATTTATTTTCCCATTATAGGAGAGTCATGAGTGACTTGTTCTGAGGTATGTTTCTGAACTATGAAGGACATCGATTAAAAACTCCTCATTTGAAGGTTTCTCTTTAGGTGTAGCATTTCATGGCTGAACAGTCTCTGCTGGTACCAGATTCCCTGTTGTATCCAACTGCATACATTTACACGTGCATGCAGATACAGGACACTCTGCATGGTCCCTGAAAAAAGGTGAAGTAACAGTTAGTAATCCAAGCTTTACACACACAAATATATTTATATAATTAACTTCAAAATGCTACTGCATTAAACATATGAATTAAAACCCATGATAAAACACTGCATTAAGAGCTTCAAATTAGAAACAAGCACCAAGGTGAACTTTGAAGAAAATGTAACTGAAATGAACAGTTTTGGTTTCTACACCAACATACCAAAATAGTTATTAAGGGGATTGATGTAGGATTTCCTTCTGTATGTTGTGAATATGTGTCTCTCTCATATCCAAACAAAGATATGGAGAGAAAGAAGGCAGAGTTGGGGAGACAGCATGTAGCCGCCCAAGTAGTAACATACTAGGGCATCACCAGTAAGCCATGTCCATGTAATGATACACAAATTAGTAGAAATGGGTTAATTTACAAGTGAGAGCTAATCAGTAATATGCCTAAACCAATGGCCAAACAATTACAATTAATATTAAGCCTCTGAGTGGTTATCTGGTAAGCAGAAGAGGGGACTGGCGGGCAGAGATAAACCAGTTCAGTGAGACCAGGCGAGCTGGAGAAAAGTTTCCATCTCCGTGAGATAGGGACGTATTAAGAGTTAAGGTTAGCACAAATGAGACGGGCTCTTGTGCTATGTTAATGGCCAGCACAGGGCCACTAGCACTGCTCTAAGTCAGTAAGTTTATTTTGAGAATCTCCACTGTAGGAGCTATTTATGTGGAGCACACCCGGAAAGAAAGAACTAGTGGAGTAGATTTGTGTGTGTGTATGTGTGTGCGTGTGTGTATGTGTATAATTATATTCATACTTTAATTACATGAGAAATTGTAAGATATAAAAAAACTATAAGTATCCTATCCCCCAGTAGGGAAAAATGTTAAGCATTTAATCCATAAAAGGATTTCTTATATAAGTATAAAAAAAAACTGACGCAAGATCTCACTATGTAGCCGTAGCTAGTCAAGAATTTGCTATGTTCAAACTGACTCTGAATTCACCTGCTTCTGCCTCCCAAGTGCTGAGATTAAAGACAAGTACCACCACACACCTGGCATAAGTATTACTTTTACAGTTTAACATTATGTAAGATAATAATGGAACCATTGATACTACCTTTTTTAAGTCAAATCAACAAACACATTTTAAAAATTAATTATTGACTGAGATATAATACAATGATATCAAGACCCTAAACTACTGAAAAGATTATCTGCTCTATGTCCTGTAACTATAAGATTATCAAGGAAGTGAGGTGGTGTTTACCTGAACCAACTAAGCATATGTCCAGCATGCCCGCCATGCCGACAATTGTGACACCAGGTAAACCAATTGTTAAACTGAGCTAACTTTTTGTCCTTGCTCAAGTCCACTTTTTCATCTGATTTGGATCCACCTATGGGAAAAGAAATTGATCACCATTAGCCAAATCATAGCAGTTTAAGCTTCTTAAAGGGTAGCTATGTTAAAATATAAAACATATGCCACATTGAAATAGCAATTTTAATGTTAAGATCTAGTACTGAATAACAGTTTACATATACATGTAAATATATATATACTTACTCAACAGGCTGATTAAGAAACTCAGTATCACATGGTTGTCCTTGAAATCATAAACATACGGTTAACACTAAATGGAATCAGTGGGTATATTTATTTTTTTTCTGTGTGCGTGTGTGTTGTGTATTTAATTAGTACACAAAATAAAAAGCAATCATGAATTTGAGGCAGTTGGCATAACTATATCTTAATTAATATATCTTCTTAATATACAGGGTTGTTTCTGGTGGCACATGCTTCAAAACCCAGTACTTGAGAGGCAGAGGTAGGCTGATCTCTGAGTTTAAGACTAGCCTAGTCTACATAGTGAATTCCAGGATAGCCAAGGCTATATATATTGATACTCTTTCTCAAAAATGAAAAAAAGACTGATGTAGACCATGATTTAAGCAAGGTAAAGAAAGGGACTCTTGTAATTTCTATTTATCAGATTACATAACGTAAATATTTTCATCCATGTTCAGTAAAAAAAAAAAAAAATGAAAAGACATGTAAAATTTGTATATACATCTTTGCATATAGATTTTTAATGACCCTTCTGTAGTACTTAAATTTCTGGCATGCTGGACATCTCCAAGCTTTTCTACATACATTATTACTTTGATATGCCACTTTTCGTGTTCAAAAAAATGCTGATTCTATTAATTTCGGCTACATCAATGTTTTATTTTAAAACAAATAAAATGAAAATATTTTTAAATCCCACACAATTACAGATAAAAACAGAAAAATAGATTAAGTAAAAAATGTTACCTTTAATCAATTATTACCTTTTAAAACATGTTGTATAAATGAAAAATTTAACTATATCATTGCCAGTCACACTTGGAATAATCTTATGGCTAGGAATAGTTTCTTAAAATACCCATAATTTTCTGCTTGTGATATAAGTTAAAAGGATGTATAAAAGAGGTAGCTACACTGAAATTGTTCTAAAGGATTTACAAACAAATCAACAATGAGAAAAAGAAATACAGATTTTATAGAGATACTTAATCTTTATACACTTTATGCACTTTAGTGATTTTGCAATTTACTGTGTGTGCGTATTGCCTGCATATATGTCTGTGAACTAGGTGTGTGTGTGTGTGTGTGTGTGTGTGTGTGTGTGTGTGTGTGTGTG